ATTTCGCGGCGTTGAGGTAAATCGCGCCTTCTTCTTCCTTGATGTTGAGGCCGAGATACTGCGTGACGGTAGATGATACTGTGAGAGTGAGGTCCTGCTGCAGTTCTCCTTCGAACCAAGTAGTGACGCTGTCAGTCGAGCCGATGTAGAGCAGGTCGTCCACGTAGACGATCAGTAGGATGTAGTCGTCACCTTTCGTGAGTCGGTACATGCCCTGGTCGTGTGGTAATTGTCGGAATCCGATGCGGACGAGTCGAGCGTGTAGATACTGCTGCCACAGTCTTGGGGCTTGTTTAATACCGTAAAGGGATTTCAGCAGTTGACAGACTTGGTTAGGCTCTCCGTGGGAGCCATGTGGAAGTTCGACGAAGATTTCGGCGTCAACAGGTGCGTAGAGGAATGCGTTGGCGACGTCAATTTGCCGCAGTTTCTTCTTCTTCATCGCGACGATCGCGAGGAGAATTCGTAGTGAGGTGTGTCGGCTGACCGGGGCGAATGTCTCGGTGAAGTCGCGTCCGTGCTCTTGGTCGAAGCCGCGTACGACCCAGCGCGCCTTAAACTTGTCGATGGTGCCGTCTGCCTTTGTCTTCACATGGAAGACCCATTTCCCGGTGAGTACTGTCTTGTTTCGTGCCACGCCGATGGGAACAACTTTCCAGGTGTTCCGTTCTTCCAGTGCTTTTAGCTCCTTGTCCATGGCTTCGCGCCATTTTTCCTTATGCTCCCCCCCCAGAGCCTGCTGAACTGTGGCAGGCTCCTTAGGAATCTCCGTGCCGTGGACCGCGGTGACGAGGCCGAGTATCTGGAGGCCACTCTGTGTGTAGCGAGGGAGTGTTGTGTCCTCTGGATAAGCTGTTTCGTCACCTGCTTCTAGGTCAGGTATGAAGTTGGGCCCTATGCGTTCTGCTTCGTTTGTGTTGACTTCTGCAGGTATAACGTAACCGTTGTCGGCGAAGTGGTAAAATACTTCGGCGTTGGCGCTTTCGCGAGGATTTTCGTCATCCATTGGGACATCAACGGAGCAGTAAGGGAGAGGTCTGGCTTCCTCCGAGGCTTCATCTACGTTCTACTCGTCCCAGTCCTTTCTGCTACGCCTTGCTGCTGGTGAGCGTAGGGAAGAGAGATGAGCCTCTTGATCCCTCTTTCTGCCAGGTACTGCTTGAACCTCTGTGAGATGTATTCTCCTCCTCCGTCTGACTGGAAGCTTTTTAGATTCATGCCCGATTCTCGTTCTGCTACTGGGAGCCAAGCGACGAAGGCCTCGAAAGCCATGTCCTTGCTCGGAAGGTTAAGGTGCCAAACGTAACGCGTGGCGGCATCGATGAACGTGATGGTGTAGCTGTATGCTCCTTGTCCAGGTTCGGCGTTGTACAGGATGTCGCTGTACACTTTCTCAAGTGGTGCGTAAGCTGGTGCGCTGGGGTTGTGGTGAGAAGCGAACGGCCGATGTGGTAAGTCAGCTTCGGGGCAGGTAAAGCACGTTCCGCGAGCTCGTCGAAGTTCGCTTCCGTCGGTTAGGAGAAATGAGTCCTTGTCGAGCACTCCTGCTCTGATTGTGTTATTTAACACTGTGTTGCTTGGATGTCCCATTCGTGCGTGCCAGATGTCTTCGCCAGCTCGATGTCCGGGTGAGCGACGGTACAAGTCGGAGTTGGAGTAGAAGCTTGCGGTGAAGTTTGCGCTTCGATGTACTTCTCGTGGTGTTGGGTTCAATTGCTGCGCAGGAGTCGGTGGAATGTCGTCATCGATTGGAGCCGGTGCAGTTGAAGGACCAGCGATTGGTGTCGATGTTGCCGCTGCTGCTGCCGTTGTTTCTGCTGCTGCCGATGTTATCTCTGCTGCTGCCGGTGTTGTCTCTGCTGCTGTCGGTGTTGTCTCTGCTGCTGCCGAGTGTTGAATCGTTGCTAATGCTCTTGTTCGCTCTGCCTCAGGGATGGTGTGCGAGTACCAGAAGCCTTCGGGACTGAAGTTGGGGTCGAGATCCGGTGGATGTGTCCAGGAGGTGAAGGTGACGATCCCGTTGCTGTCAGCGGTGCCAAGATCTGGGACGAAGTCGAGGACGAAGACGTTATTTTTCAGGACCGCCTTCCCGATGTAGAGACCGCCCTTCCCGTGGTATAACTTGAACTCCTGTATTGTGCTGTCTGCTTCGAGGTGGATGCCTTTCGCCATCAGCTGACTGACGCTCAGTAAGTTGTAGCCGAGTCCCTCTGCAATTAGTACTTTTGACATCTGTAATATGACGTTTGTCTCTCGTGACTGAAGTTGCACCACGCCTTGTCGTCGTGTGCGCATGTTCTGGTTGTTGGCGACGGTGATGACGACTTCCCGCTGAAGTTGGTATTCCCGTTGAACGAAGCGACCTGAAGAGCACATGTGTTGTCCGCAGCAAATGTCCAAGAACCAGGTATCCTTCCCAGACGGTTCACTTTGGGCGATGGCTGCGTACGTTGGGTTCGGTTGCAGTGACTCGCGACGTGGAGTCCTTTCATCGAGTTGTTCTTCTGGTGAGTAGTGCGGAGGCGATTCGGTGATGCAGGAGTCGGTCAATCTTGCCATGCAGCTGACGATGTTCCTTGTTCCTTGTGCAGGTTTTCCCGTCGACGTTGTTGACGTTTGCACTTGAGTGGTGGGATTTACTTGCGTTGAGGCGACTTGACTGCTTGAAGGTCGAAGCTGCCGCTGCGTTGGTGCTGACTGCTGCCGGTTAGGGCAGTATGTGCGGGGATGACCTGACGTCTTGCAGAGATGACAAAACGGAGGTACGGGTTGCTGTCCTTGGTACTTATTTTGCCGATGGTTGTTGTTGTTGTAGCGCCGTTGAGTGTGGAAAGCGAACTCAGGCACTGACGTCTTCCTCTTGTGTTTTTCTTCTTGTAGGTCCATGTCTTGCTGTTCGGCGTGAATCTCGGCGCAGACAGCTGCTTCGGAGATTTTTCCGTGAGCTCGGAGTATGGCGCGAGTGGAGCGCCAATGAGGACCAAGACCGCCAATGACGACTGTGACGAAGGCGTCTTCTGATATCGACCCTCCGCATCGAAGGAGTTTGTCGCGCAATTCGCGACAGCGGCTGATATACGCCATCCATTTTTCGCCAGGTTTCATTTCGACTGTTGTCAGTTGCGCCATTAACCGACTTTGATTGACGCTGTCTGTTGCTTGATACAGGTTCTTCAGATGGTTGTACGCGACCCCTGCGGAGTTGCCATATCCCCGGTAAGACCATATATTCTGCTGCTGATCCGGAGTGATGTTCCTCAGTAGGATTGTGTACGCCATCATTGACTGGTACGTGTACTGTTGCTTGTCGTACTGTGTGCCGTGTGTTGGATATGGCAGGGACCCGTCGAAGAAGTCAAGAATCTGCGCGCCTTCCATCATTAGTTCGAACTCGAACGACCAGGTGAAGAAGTCCTTCCCGTCGAAAGGCCTTGACGTTTGCAGTTTTAAGACGTGCGCGAACTGCGACTGAACTTGAAGTGCGTGCGGGTGCAGTTCTCTTGTCCAGGTGCAGGCTGCGGGTGTGGTATGAAGCTGGCGGAGCCGCGCTAAGGCTCGTACGGAGCAAAGGTAGGCTGCTGCTGTTGATTTCCGCGTGCGTAGGATGAGCCGTCGAGACTCATGGGTGTCACGTCGTTGTTGTTGTTGCTGTTGTTTAACTGCGCAGGTGCCGACTGCTGGTGTTGTTCGTAGAAGGACATGAAGGAGAAGAACTTCTCCATCATGTTCTGGTCGAAGCCTGCAGGTTGATTCGCAGGAGTTTCAGTGGACCCTGCTGCTGGTCTTGTCATCGTACCCTTCTCTGTCTGTAGGCCAGAGGCAGGAGGTGGAGTAGGGGTAGTGCCGAGAGAACCATTAGAGGAACTCCTTTCCTTCTGAGTAGCCATGCTTTCTGATGTTGTAGGTGTCTTGATAGTGGAATTTGTCCTGACAGCTCTCATACCATGTTGGGCTGAGAAGAGCCCTTAGGATCTTTGCAGGACTAAATTCCTGGTAGGACAATGTAATAGCGAAAGCGTTTAATGAAAGGTTTGTCAACCACCTTGCACTGGTATGTGAGGGCAAAGTAGATTGATTAAAAAAAAGAGATACAAGCTTTTATAAGAGTACAACGAATATGAAGGGTTATAACTAATAACTGTTTTGCTGTTGCTGTTGCGGTTTGATACAGTGACGACTCGGGCAACTGCTAAATAGCGAGTCAGTTGTTTGTCCTTGCTGTCGCGCTGTACTTATCAGGTCAAAGGTCGCTGACCTTTGACTTTCGCGTAACCTCCAGCAGTTGTTCAACCTCCGAGGGTTGACTCGCCAATGCTTCGATATGTTTCGCTTCGCTTCTATCTTGGTGTTTCGACACGACAGAGGCGCTAAATCAATTGTTTCCAACAGTGTATAACACCCTGCCTACCTGAAATATCCAATAGATGGGTGATCTATAGAAAGAAATGCAAGTTGATATATTCAAGTTCCACAGGTAAGTGCAGGGTTCGGGCCCTCGGGTTAAACATCTATCAGCCGAGGTGCGGAATACTTGGCCTTGGCATCAGGGTCCTCGGTTGAAGGGTACGACAACAGCTTGATTCCCTTGCTGTTTGCCCTGTTATGTGGGGTTGCCCTAATCTTGCTTGCCAGGGTAGCAAAATTTCCACCCTGCCAATAAACAGGATTATGAAATCCCACCCTGGATAGAAAGGGTGTTCTGAACCTCGAGACCCAGACGGATGGTGGCTGCAGCAGTGTTACTGTAATTCTCTGAAGTGACAAGACAGAATTGGGGTTTTGGCTAATTTTCAGCCTAGAATTGTGTGACAACTCTGATTTTCCAGCATGCCCCAAAACCAATATGGGGGCCTGATCCTAGGGCTTTTCTCAGCCCAACACATGTAAACACTAAACTACACCGAGTTGTTTGTGTGACCAATAGATGCAAATCATTGAGGTCCTTTATTTCAACCAGTGCAGCAAAATGTACATTATTGTACTCATTAGAAGACTGGTGTCTAGACCAGTGGTTGTACTGTAGTCAGAGTTGCAATGGCAATGAGAGCAGCAGTGAGTCCAACAGTGAGAGCGGTGGTGAGAGCAGCAGTAGAAGCGGTGGTCAGACCTTGCGGTAGATGACCCTCCTCTCCCGTCGGTACTCCACCTCTCCCCGTGCCACCATGATGAGCAGCGCTCGCCGCACCTGGTGAATGCAGCATGCCGTGACATACCACATGCCACACCACATTCCATTGCCATATGGCATAAGCCACAAACCATGCCACGCGCACACGCCGCATGCCACACAAAGCCGGTGATGCATGCGCTAAAGTATTGTGATGAGCGTTGCACACAGCACCCACCAGACGGGCACCAAGTAGGCGGCAATCTGGAGATTACATAAGCATTTGAACAAGCGCACGACTCACGGCGCTCTCACTGATGCCGGACCGCGTGATGTCATCCAGCAGGCGCCTCTCCGACACGAAGCCCCCGATGGCCACGCGGCGCCGCACCGCGCCCTCCACCTGCTGCACCTCGCGCCGCTGCTCCTCCGTCAGCACTGCGCCGTCCACCACGCCCGACCGGGCGGCGTCCAGCGTCGCGACATGGAAGAGGCGCAGCGCCTCGGTGACGTGCTCCTCCGTGGCCACTGGGGAGCTGGGGGGGGGAGGAGGGGTATGGGGAGAAGAGGGGGGGGACAAGGTGTGGGAGAAGAGGGGGTACAGAGGAAGTGAAAGAGGGGAGAACACGAGGGGTCCACATTGGCAAAAAAATATATGTTGTACGTTACCCTCACAGCTGCATGTCATGTCACTCACCGCTGCATGCCATGTCACTCACAACTGCATGCCATGTCACTTACAGCTGCATGCCATGACACTCACCGCTGCATGCCATGTCACTCAGAGCTGCGTGCCATGTCACTCACGGCTAGATGCCATGACACTCACAACTGCATACCATGTCAGTCATGGCTGCATGCCACGTCACTCACAGCTGCATGCGTGCCATGGACTCTGAGAGCCTCACGATGGCCTCCAGCTGGCGAACCGTGATTGGCAGCGCTGACGCCTCCCCCGTCTCCGTTGCCCTCCGCCGCATGTTCTGAGGGGAGAAGGGGTGATCTGAAGATAATGCTGGGTTATGTGGCGCAGCAACGGTGAGGTGGGGTGCAGAATGGTGCGGCGCAGTGCGATGCGTTGTGATGTGATGTGATGTGATGTGATGCGATGCGATGCGATGCGATGCGATGCGATGCGATGTGTTGTGTTGTGATGTGATGTGATGTGTTGTGATGTGACGTGTTGTGTTGTGATGTGATGTGATGTGATGTGATGTGATGTGATGTGATGTGATGTGATGTGATGTGATGTCATGTGATGTGATGTGTTGTGATGTGTTGTGATGTAATGTGTTGTGATGTGATGTGTTGTGATGTAATGTGTTGTGATGTGTTGCAGCATGTCCCCTTGCAATAAAGTTCACTGCACCGCAAAAGAAAGTGCACCTGTGGAATCTGCAATTGAGTGTTGTGATGTGCTGGGTTGTGTTACAATGTGACATGTTGCAACACAAGAGCAAGCAGGATCAACCCACATCAACCCACACCTGCCGGATCACCCCCCACCTGCCGGATCTGCACATAATTGTTTTGCAGGAGCGTTGCTGCCGACTCTGAAAGCCGCGGGGAGCAGCGCGTGCGAGCAAACTCGATGTACCTGATGGGAGGGGTTAGGGACAACAAGCAGCAGCGGAAGGGGAAGAGGGAGGTCTGTGACGACTTCGTCGAATCAAAACTTCTGACCCAAGAGAAAGACTCAAAGCGCTTGGGGACACAAAGGGGAATAATGGTAACTGGAAGAGTGGAAGCAATTCCCCTTCTCCACCCTTTGCCCATTCCCCCCACCAATTCCCAGCCTCCCCTCCTCGTCACCTCTTGAGCCAGTTCTCCTGCTCGCCATCCTTCCCCGTGTGCCCCACGCCCCCCGCCCCTGCAGGTCCGTCCCCCATGGCTGCCCGCCCGCCCATGGCATCGTCTGCCTGCCCCACCACGGCATCCGCCTTGGCATGCACGTTCACCACGTGCCGCGCGATTTGCTGCATGGGGGAAGGGGTGAGCCATGGAGGAAGGGGCACAGGTGCAAGTGAATAAGGGGCTCAGGCTGAGACCTCGCATACACGTTCACCACGTGCAGCACGATCCTGAGGGGGGAAGGGGGGAAACAAACGGGGTGTTGACACGGAGCTAGGGCTGACAACGGGAGGCAAACGCCAAGGCAAGGAAGATGGAGCAGGTATCTTTGACAGTGACGATGGGGTCAAACATTCAGACATATAGATTGAGCGGGCAATATAGGGAGGTGGTTTCAGAACAGCAGTTGCGGCTGAGAGGAAGCAGATAGCAGGTCACGTTGAAAACACATGTGCCCTTGATAACAAAGATGAGGCCATTGAAAACATTGTGAGCATGCTTGGACACACATACACAGAGTGGGAGAGGCGAGCAGCATTCCAAACACATGCTCTCGTGACAGAATGGCAGGTAGGGCGGGGGAAGGAGGCGAGTAGGAGAAGGAAGGAGAGAGGCAGGAGGGGAGGGGATGGGGAGGGGGAGGGGGAGGGGGAGGGGGAGGGGGAGGGGGAGGGGGAGGGAGGGGGATTGGAGGGCGCACGAGGTCGCGGTTGAAGTCGCGGGTGTCCTTGACGACAAAGATGAGGTCGAAGCGCGACAGAATGGTGCTCTGCAGATCAATGTTCTCCTGCGCTGTCTGTGGGGGGTGGTGCGAGGAGGGATGGACGAGGAGAGAGGGAGACAGGGATGTGATGTACGTAATGCATCGATCATTCCGGGGCATAACATGGGAAGATGTGGCAGCACATGGCAGCACATGGCAGCACATGGCAGCACAATGATACATTTTTGAGGCGGCCCCCAACAACCTCCCCCTCCCCCACCCCCGTCGTCCCTTGCCTCACCCGGAGGTCATCGTATCGCCCGGAGGGCGGGTTGGCAGCGGCGAGCACGGAGGTGCGCGAGTTGAGGACGGTGGTGATGCCCGCCTTGGCGATGCTTATCGTCTGCTGCTCCATCGCCTCGTGAATCGCCACTCTGCGCGGCACAATTAGAGGAACACACACCGAGTGACTTGCATCAGGCGGACGACAAATCACACATGTGAGAGGCATGCTTCGTTGCCTCGAGGATTGCCACTCTGCAGCACCCATGGTGCGTGCGGTTGGAGCAGGCAAGCACGGTGGTCACAGGGAACAAGGGAGGTGCGCGAGTGGTGATGGCCGCCTTGACGATCCTGATCTGCTCCGTCGGCTCGTGGATCGCCACTGTGTGGGGAGCATGGGGCAGAGGGAGTGGCGGAGCACACAGAGAGACTCATGCCCTGCTGCTCCATCGTCCCCATCCCATGGGCGCAACATCCCCCCCCCCACCTGACACCCATGCTTCCTCCCCGTTTCATGCCTCCCACCTCATCCATCCCCCCCCCACCTGTCCTCAGGGCGCATCTTGTCGAACTCATCGATGCACACCACACCACCATCTGCCAGCACCATGGCGCCGCCCTCCAGGTAGAACTCCCTCTGCCCACCGTGCCATGCCATGCCGTGCCGTGCCGTGCCATGCCATGCCATGCCATGCCATGCCATGCCATGCCATGCCGTGCCGTGCCGTGCCATGCCATGCCATGCCGTGCCGTGCCGTGCCGTGCCGTGCCGTGCCGTGCCGTGCCGTGCCGTGCCGTGCCGTGCCATGCCATGCCATGCCATGCCGTGCCATGCCATGCCATACCGTTAACAGGAGGACCATCGATGAATGCCGGGAAACAGATGAATAACAGGGAAGCGGATTAAACACAGGGAACCGGATCAATAGCAGGAGGACATGCACAAAGAAAGGCGTATTAGATTGGCACAGAGAAAAGCGTATAAGATTGGCACAGAGAAAAGCGTATTAGATTGGCACAGAGAAAAGCGTATAAGATTGGCACAGAGAAAAGCGTATAAGATTGGCACAGAGAAAAGCGTATTAGATTGGCACAGAGAAAAGCATATTAGATTGGCACAGAGAAAAGCGCATTAGATTGGCACAGAGAAAAGCGTATTAGATTGGCACAAAGAAAGGCGTATTAGATTGGCACAGAGAAAAGCGTATAAGATTGGCACAGAGAAAAGCGTATTAGATTGGCACAGAGAAAAGCGTATTAGATTGGCACAGAGAAAAGCGTATTAGATTGGCGGCATGTGGCGCAGCACTGACAGAGGAGGCATCGCGGATAACGGAGGCGGTGAGACCGGCAGCAGAGGAGCCCTTCCCTGATGTGTACACCGCTATGGGCGCCGTCTTCTCCACAAACTTGAGGAACTGCCGTGGACACGGTGGGCGGGGGGAGATGGATGGGTTGAGGGGTTGCGTTCAAGAGCAAATACGCCGCATGGAAATGGATGGGTGCCAATTGTGCATAAACTTGGTGAAATGGAATCAGGTGAGAGGTAGTACTGAACCTACAAGTGCTGACTCAGCTGTGACTCATGCTGACTCACCTGGGACTTGGCGGTGGAGGGATCACCAATCAGCAGCACGTTGATGTCGCCTCTCAGCCTTGCGCCATCTGGCAGTAGCTGATTGGTGGACGAGGGAGCAGCGGAATAAGGGGGCATAGGGGAGAGAGAAGGCATAGATGGAACCATCAACAAAGGATTAACAGCACCAAAAAACATGAAAATGAAATACAAAATATATAGAAGTAACACAAAGTTACCGGCTTGGATTGTTTAGATGCAAACAAAACACGCCATGTGATAGCAGGGCACAGCAGGCGTTAGACAAGGAACAGTGCAGAGAGCAGGCATGTCAAGTCAAGGCACACGGTAAGGTGATGCAAGGCAAGCATCCATCCCACCCTCCTGGCCTGGCGGTCCCCACAAAATGGCGCATGGCACCCCACCTTCCAGGCTCACACTCTCCCACCTTCCAGGCTCACACTCTCCCACCTTCCAGGCTCACACTCTCCCACCTTCCAGGCTCACACTCTCCCACCTTCCAGGCTCACACTCTCCCACCTTCCAGGCTCACACTCTCCCACCTTCCAGGCTCACACTCTCCCACCTTCCAGGCTCACACTCTCCCACCTTCCAGGCTCACACTCTCCCACCTTCCAGGCTCACACTCTCCCACCTTCCAGGCTCACACTCTCCCACCTTCCAGGCTCACACTCTCCCACCTTCCAGGCTCACACTCTCCCACCTTCCAGGCTCACACTCTCCAACCTTCCTGCTCTGGTGTTTCCCACCCGCCCCTCGCACATGGCCCACCCCACCTTGCGCGCGCCGCCAAAGAGCAGGCAGGCGATGGCCTTCTTGATGTCGGCGTGGCCGAAGATGGACGGCGCGATCTGGCTGCTTATGGCGCCGTACACGTCGCCCTGCCGGCTGAAGTCCTTGAACTCCGCCTCCTGTGTTATGTTAGGAGGGACGCGGAAAGAGGAGGGGGAAAGGGTTTGAGCGGGGAAATCCAGAATCAACACCCAAGCTGGGAGAAAGCATCCATGTCAGTGTGGGCCAGAAATTGTCAAGGGCGTCAACGCAAGTCAACGCAAGTCAATGCGGGCACTGACCTCGTCAGTGGTGAAGGAGGAGGCAGTGGACCTGGCAGCGCCATCCGCAGCCATCTCCACCCCCACCACTCGCAGGTATGGCTGCCGTATTGCCACCGCCATGGCCCCTCGCGACCTGAGAGGCGGGGTCACAGGGAGCAGCGGTGGGGGAGAGGGCGGGGATTGCGGGTCAGCTGGGCAGTCGTGGCATCTCCAACCCCACCATCTGCAGGGTGCCGTATGGCCACCGCCATGGCACCCCAGGACTTGGGCTTCTCCCCCCAAGCCACCACGCATGCATCGCACCTGTTTTTAACCGCAGACTCCAAGGTGCTTAGAATGCCAAACCGGGCAAACCGTTTAAGGGGCAACGAGTTGATTGGGATGAGAGACCAATCATCTCACTCGGTTTTGTCCCCACACGATTCAGCCCCTTAGATACGTGGCACGTGACACAATTCAGCCCCTGAGCCTCCACGCATGTCACATGTTTTATAGGAAGCCTGGAGGATGCTTAGGATGCCCAACACAGTGTCAGTGATGCGCGTGCCGGGGGAGAATGTATGCGAACCGTTGGAGGAGAAAAAAAATGAATAAAATGAGAAAATTCTCACCTCACTCACTCACTAAGACTCACACGAGTCAGTCTTTTGGCAGGCAGCTCACTTGGTTTTATCGGAGGCCTGGAAGATGCTGAAGATGCCAAACACGGTGATGCGCGTGCCGGGGGAGATGCGCTGCACCAGAGAGCGGTCCACCGCCAGCAGCACGCTCCGCGGCATCTCACCCGTGGGCACGTCCTGAGGGGCAGCATGGGGGCATGGGGCACGGTGCACTGGTTCATGGGGCGTGGGGCGTTTTGTATGGGACGTGGGGCAAGGCAAGGTTCACGGTGTTGTATGTTGTGCCCACGCCAGCAGCACACTGCGCTGCGCGGCACCACGGAGTGGTCCACTGCCAGCAGCATACTGCGCGGCATCTCACCCGTGGGCACATCCTAAGGGGGAGCATGGGGGCAATGGGCATATGGTATGGGGCATGGGGCATGGGACGTGGGGCATGGGACATGGGGCATGGGGCGAGTTCATGGTATGCATGCAGTGCAGTGCGAGCATCATGCTGCACGAATGAGAAGTCCACTGCCAGCACCACACTGCACCGCATCTCACCCGTCGGCATGAGGCATGGGGCATAGTTACCTTCCATGAAGATTCACAGAGCGATTTTCCCGGAATTACTCCAAAGACTCCTAAATTACCTCGGGATTCTCCTGTAGCTTGAGCGTCTGCTGGTCCACGTACTCGCTCCTATCCGGCAGCACCACCCACGGGTCCACCCCGCATGGCTCCTCCCCTGGCTACTCGCATAGACAAGGGGTGGATGGAGGGCGGCGGCCGAAGGGAAAAGAGGAAGGCGATAAGCAAGGAAGGGGAGGGGAAAAGGAAAAATCAGGTTTGAAACATCACAAGGAGAGGAGAAAGGAGCGGAGGGAAAGAACATTTCCCCACATGGACCCTTTCGTGGTTCTCTGCTCTGCAATGCTCCAAACGCCCATCAATCCCTCAACCCAGCCTGCCTACAATGAAACGCCCATGTGGATAACCCGCCATCAGACACATCAAATGTGCTTATTCTTTCTCTTTTCTTCACTTGCCCACTTGCCCATGGGAAATGAAAATGAAACCTACCTGCGGGGTGCGGTCGCATGTGCGGTCGTCACGTGCCACCCAACTCACTGCCACGGCACACCCACCCACCTCGCGCATGGAGAATGCAACCTACCTGGGGGGTGCGGTCGCAGGTGCGCGGGATGATGGCGCCTCCCAGGCCCGGGCGGCAGGGGATGGCCTTGACGTTCTTGCAGGAGCGGCACATGAGCACCACCGACGTCGCCTTGGCCTTGGCGCGCGAGGACGCAATTACAATGCCCGAGATCTTCACCAGATGCGAGATTTGAGCCGCCTGGTGAGGTGAGCGGTGGAAAGACGTGGGGAGCGGGGGGAGGGAGAGGGAGAGGGAGAGGAAGCAAGGGAAGAGGTGGAAAATCGATGCTTGCGATCTTCACCAAATGAGATGTTTGTGCCGCCTGGTGGGGGGTGGAGGGAGAAGGGGGGAGGCAGAGAAACGAAGCGATCACGATGCGTGATAGCTTCACCCAATAGACGAGTTGTGCTGCCTGATGGGGGAAGGGGGGGGGATAAAGGGTTGTTGCGAGACGTGATGTCAGGGTTCAATCAGACATGCAGCGATTGCAACACACCCAGTTGCTACCGCACTAGAAGGCAAGAGAGAAACTGAAACGGGAGCATGGAAAGCAGGTCCGCACAGAGGAGTCATGGCGCGGCATGGTTGGGAGGAAGGGCGGAGGAAGTAATGCAAGCGATGTGATGCTTGGCAAGGCACGCACCTTAAAACCCTGATGGGCACGCACCGTTAAAGCACGGATGGGCATGGCGTCCTCGGAGCTCTTGAGCAGCACCTGCACGGGCGGCACTCGTGCATCCTCCAGCTCCCCACTCTCCCCCATCACCTTCTGCCGCACGCTCGCTGCCACCTCAGCTGCTGCCACCTCCAACTGCCATGAGAACGAGGGACGGGGGAGTGGGGGGAGAGAAGGGAGCACAGAAGCGGGGGAAGCGAGGAGGGTGAGAGAAAGACGAGTACATATCAAGCAGTCAGAGCGCTCATGAGGAACGAATGCTCCATGCGCTCATGAGGAACGAATGCTCCATGCGCTCATGAGGAACGAATGCTCCATGCGCTCATGAGGAACGAATGCTCCATGCGCTCATGAGGAACGAATGCTCCATGCGCTCATGAGGAACGAATGCTCCATGCGCTCATGAGGAACGAATGCTCCATGCGCTCATGAGGAACGAATGCTCCATGCGCTCATGAGGAACGAATGCTCCATGCGCTCATGAGGAACGAATGCTCCATGCGCTCATGAGGAACGAATGCTCCATGCGCTCATGAGGAACGAATGCTCCATGCGCTCATGAGGAACGAATGCTCCATGCGCTCGTTGAGAAAGACACACGGGCAAGCAAAGCATGGCATTCAAAAATCCACGGGGACCCCATCCCATCCCACCCACCAGGGGCAGCATGTCAGCGGGGCGCGTGCGCATGAGGCGGCACAGCCCCTCCTCCTTGCTCGCCAGGTCCTCCAAATCCACCTCCAGCACGCCCCCGCCCTCCTGCAGCCGCTCCCTGGGACAACCGCGGGTGATGAGGGAGTGGGGAACGAGAGAGTGGGGAGAGACGGTGTGCTGTTAGCCGCCCCCACACCGCCACGCCCTCCAGATCCGCCTCCACCACGCCCCCGCCCTCCTGCGGCCGCTTCCTGCGGAATGGGGGGAGGGGGGTTGCCGTGGGAGGAGGGGAACGGGACACGGCGTATGATGCTGTGCAGCCCCGGCGGCCGGCCATGTGAGCCCCGGTCATGTGAGGCAGGAACAGGCGGGATGAGAGGAGGGAAGTTGCGAGTAAGGAAGGGTGCGGACCGCGTGTAGGGAGGGCGCACGGCGCGCAGGGGACGACGGGAACCTCACGGCGCGGATCCGTCGGTTTGTGAGGGATTTTAAAGCCCGGCTGGTCGCAGGGAAGGGAGGGGCCCACATTGAACGGGGGCGGGGACCGCACGGTGCGAATGAGGTAGCCGCGGCAGCGGAGGATGCGGAACCACTGGCTGATTCGGGTGGCCTACTGTGCTGTGCTGGTAACGGGCAGCGGGTTACCGCACGCGGCGCACCTGTAGATGAAGCGGTCATGATACTGCGGATCGTGGAAGTTTCGCACGAACTCGCGAAGCTTCTTCTGCGCGGCGTATCGCGTGATTCCCGCGTCGCCCAGCGCATCGTCGCCGGGCGGCCCTTCCGACTCGGGGAACGACTGGTTGCTGTAGAATACCTGTCCCTCGTCCCACCCTGACATGGCGCCCGCTGATTGGCGCGTTATAAGAGGTATTCGAGAGTTGATTTCCCAGCGTACGCGACGATTTCTTGGAGCTAAACTGGAGCGACGTGATTCGGTCTACTGTCAGGAGTTCGTTTGTGAGACTCGTGCGCATTGAGAGCGACGTGATGCTTGGCTTGTGATTTAAGTTGAGGTGTGGGAGCGAGAGAAATCATAGGGCGCGTCCCTTCTTTCGATTTTGCACGATCGATCGTGCTAAACCGATCGTTGCCACACTTCAACCCTGCTTAACGCATTAAAATTGTTTGGAAACCGTTTATTACCACGTTAAGATTCGATCCTCCGTATAATCGATTGTGCAACGAAAGAAGGGACGCGTCCTTGAGCGCGGGAAATGTTGAGCTCGTTACTATCCTCTGACACGGTTCGACAGAGTGTGTTTACACGTTTTGTGCACTCTCCAGAAGTGTAGAATATGCATTCTTTCTACGAGAAATTAAGTGAAACATGTCAGAAATATCGGTTAACATAATTATTTGGGCTTCAGGACGAGTTAATGTTCTTGATATTACATTAGATCGTCAGTAACAAATGTGGATGCATGCATGTTTCTAGTGCATTAATTTACAACAGCAACACAGGCGACAACGGCGACAACGTCGACACCAGCGACAACGACCAACGAGAAAAACCACAAGGAGAACAACAGCAAGAACACCACCAACAGCAACAGCAACAATATTAGCAACAACAACACGAACAACAACGTTGATACTTCTTATCACTGTCGAGTACAGAGGCTCCACCCACGTCAAAACAGTTTCACCAGCTCAGGTCATTCTCGCTCCCTCCGCTTTCCGTTTTCCACTCTCCGCCTTAAGCCTCCACCCTTAGAAACTTCTGATGGTGCTTCTGTTTACCATATAGCAAGTAGCACTCCTAAGAAGAACGCGTACAGGCGCCATGTGGCCATGGGAGGGTGTTTGACTTCTGCCAAATCCTTGATTCCATCTCGTCTAGCTTCCACTTTGCCGAAGCCTCGATAGCAGGGCTCAGGTTTGCAGTGTAATTTACCCTTCTATAATGATTACAAGGGTGAAATTTTGGGTCTACACTGATGTGCTGGGGTGGGGTAATTTTTTTATGAGTTAGTGTTACACTGATCTGTAAGTGTATCGACGTAGGCCACACTGATGCCTTGGGTTAAATTCTCCGTTAGCGAAGATTACACTGAAGAGCGTACAGGGACCCCCCCCTCCCCCTCTTCCCCGAAATTTGTCAGATCGTGATTTCCGATAATCATGCAAGTACCGAGAATTTTTTCCGTGCAGTACGAGCGTTGGCCGCAGTGACGTGTCCGATTGGTCTGTTAGGGCGTGTGCACTAGGGGTTCGAACTTGTGTCTAAGTTCGAACATTTAGAGAGGTACTACTCGTTACGATACTATTGAGAGATGTTTCGTCACGGTGCAAAGCGGTTGATGTTCGAACTTTGACACATTTCGCCAAAAGACACACGCCCTCATGAATGATTCCCTTTCCAGCACGCCACGACCGAACCTAGGTGTTACCTGTAATAGTTTAGGACTTTGCGAACATCTGTCAGTGTTTGAAAAAAAAACCACACTGATGATGCAGGGTACAATTTTCAAAACCTGATGTTACACTTCTCTATCAGTGTAACGAAAAAGTACACACTGCCCATAAGGGTTTTTGAAAAAGCTACACTGCCAATCGTGAGTAGGCCAAATCCAAACCTGAGCCCTGCTCGATAGCCACACTAGGCAAGTTCTTGAACATTCCACTTTGGGCATGCCCGCATGCTCCAAGCACGAAACGGCTGGAAGGCGGAGCGAGTGGAGCTCACACGATGCTTCATGACGATGGCTCGACGCCACACACGGCGAGTTTGGCCGAGTAATATGCCTCATTTCTCGAAGCGCCAAATGACGGGACGACCAAGTATTTGGAGCTCCCAGGATGTCCCGTGATAATGGTGATGGCTTCTTGCAGCAATCTGTAAGTCGAAAGAGGCCCTATTCAAATGTAGTATCTCCCGACGGCTCTCGAGGCGCTATGCTGCATAGTAAAACGATAGACGCTCAGATCGTTACCATCACTTTATCAGCCAAGCATTCAAAAGTCCAATCACATATGCTAATTGAAATACCGTTCACATTTTTGGGTTGCGGAGCAACCTATTGCAATCGACTAGACCATGTTTTTTTTTTTTTTTTCACGATTTTTTTTTAATAGCCTATAAAAAAATGTTAAATAAAAGAAAATTTTCGTTGAAGGCTAATAATAATAATTTATATGCCAAACTAGTTTGTCCTTCATGTAGCTAAACGCGAGGGCCACGCGATATCTTTCTGTTAAAGGTTATTCATCTACATATATTTGCTTGACTTCGGACTCTCAGAATCATTAGTGAAATACAATGACCGACCAACCAATCGATCACTGTATCTTCTTGTGTATACCATCGAGTATACACGAGACAAGACGTAAGCATATTCGTCAAAAGAATTGATGAATATGTCTCATGGCTTGAATTTGAACAAACAAATATTTTGTGTAGGGCTAACGATAAAAAAATTATACTACCGCTTCCCCAGCCTAGCATGGGGGGGAAGTCAGCAGTATAAACAAAATCGTGACAACGCAATACAATCTGCAAATCCCAAAGAAACATCTACACCGATCAAGTCCAGCTGAAAATGGCTTCACTGTCATAGTGGTGCACCACTCAACCTTATGTGACGATGATCGGCAAGATGTCTCTTTGAAATAAGCAGACATGAATTACGGTTGCAACAAGAAGCATAGTACAAACAGAAATAAAACAAATGAAACAAATACTCGGAATTAAAAGCTGCTGCCAAACAATTGCACTTTAAGTTGTACCACCAGACATTCCCTTCCAGCCCCCCTACCGATCAGCATCTGCAATTAAAAACACATATTCCAAACACATAGTGCAAGAAAAAAAGAACGGAATAGAATGATTACAAGTTTTGGAGAAACGAAACTGAGAAAATGAAGAAACTAATGGTGTAAAAGACAAACGACACTTCAAGATAATCAGGATATTTCAACTCCAAACCAACCTTGCAGTGGAAAAAGGAAGTGCATGATTTTCGAAACAACAGAGAAGGACACAATATACTTATAAGCAGAGAAGAAAGAAAGAGTGGCGGATTAAGGGGAGAGGCGGACGGACGAGGGAGAGATTACCGATGTTCTGAAGTCTATGAATTACATACTAAATAGTAGGTAGACTTTGCTACAACGATAAAACTCTCTGCTTACATGAGCTCTCTCTTGCTCTCTTTTCCAAGATGTTCTCACCTTAACAAGACGATCGATTGAAACAGCAACGTGCTTGAGCGTTTCCTGCAGTTAGATGCAGGAACATAGAAACAAGCAAACAGGTACAAATGACTAGTACATAATATTGACCTGAAATTCACACATGCAGTAGATCACTTTCAATATCGATGAATGTATTTTTGGTCGTAACTAGGATCTACGTCAAATTGAGCTGCAACCCTTCAACACGACGTAGCAGAAAGGGCTGCAGCCATTGGAAACCGACTTAATTGTCGAATGAAAACGAGAAAATGCAATGTCGAAATAAAAAGCGGCGTGAATGAATAAACAAGAATGGATGCAGGCCTATCGACTACCTAGAGACTATTACGACATAGACCGAAAGTTCAGAATCTATTTTAAACAAGTTGCACAACTTTAAAACGGCGAACATAATACTCGATGATTAGGATACGACACTAAGGGAAATATAGTTGACCAGTAACTAGGTGAACTCTAGTTGAGAGCTTAGTACTGACCTTGGAGAGCTAGGTGGAGCGGGAGTAGCGGGAGGAAACAGAACTGCATGAGTTCGACGAGAGAGAGAAAGGAAGCAAACCCTAAAGAGGTGTGTCATTTCATCGCGTTTCATATGACAGTTAAAATAAAACATGGTGAGAATTCAGTGGTACGTTGCGCAGTGGTTTCAAAATAGACTTGAGTGGGAAAGATCTCCGTTTCGATTCTTGCTCAGTTGTTCAGGTTTGAATAAACATTTGGTGCTACATGATTCAAAGTTTTATATGAAGATGCCACCCAAACAAAAAATGTACTCACGTATAGCTGCTCCGCAACCCTAAGACGATTTCGTCGCCTCTTGTTTTTTTTTGTTCTCCACATTCCATCCATACCGTCTAATTTTTTACTGAAAGAATTTTGAAATAGTGAAATGGCAAGCCATAAGCTTCTCATCGTTTTCCTTCTCTTCCTCCTCACCGCTCTCCTAGCTATCTCTAACTTTCCTTCTACTCACTGAACGTTTGTCTTGCCCAATAACCATATAGTGAAGACAAGGGAATACAGGGAGACCCAATACATTGACCGCGCACTGGATTGGCGGCATGAGCAGCTATGCGCGAAGAAGTGGGGCGAGTGCGAGTGGGACAGTGGGACGCGATCGACGCATTCAACGAGTGTTAGGAGGAGTGCAGCGAGAAATGCGATAAGCAGCTGAACGAATGCTACGACGACGACCAACACGACATCCGAAAGTGCGTCAAGAAGGTGTTAAAGTTTAGAAGAAAGAAGAGAGAAGGAGAGAAGAGAAGAAGAGGATTGCACTAGCAAGAATGGGGATACAAATAGGAAACCCTAGAAGGGTTGTACTCGCTATAGAGCACCCCACTACAGGCTAGAGCATAAGATAACATTCTGACAGAAGGATCGTGTGAGGATCTAGGATCGAGCTCAGAAAAGATGATTTGAATTGAATGATCACCTGGGTATAACACGAGGCTATATATAGGCTCGACACAAGGCAGGTAACCCAGGTGTTACGCGAATGTTCCGAGGGTCGCGAAGCGTCCCGAACAGAACCTTCTCGAACTCGGTAGAATGCAATTCGGTGGCAACCGAATAGCTTGAGTTCGGTACACGTAACCTGGTTCAGTGCCTGTAACTATAATAACTATAGTAAAGCAACGAACC